CACGTGAACACATACACTATTGCCTGTGAGAGTGAAGACTATCAGGGGGTGACAGAGCCCGATCCAGCCTTGAAACCCCCTCTCCCCCAGAAGCCTCAGTGGTTTGCTTCACCGTCTCTCTAGCACCCAGTTTTCCTGGCTGTTCTGATTCATAAACACGTTCCTTGCAGGTTACATGTATGTTTACTGTCTATCCAGCTGCAAAGTGAGCCCCATTCCAGGGAGCCGCGTGCTCACTCTCTCAACATCAGCTTTTATTGGGTGGGTTGAACGTGGCTTAGAGGAAGGATTCCCCTGCAGCATCTCAGTGGCAGGAGGGGTTGTGTGGCTTTGGCATTTGGCTTGTGGCTAGGTTATTCCTCAAGGGGGCGAATGAAGCTGTCATTTTCCCATGAGCCTTGGCCCTCATGTCACAGGGTCTCCAGTCCATTCCCAGCAGGTCCGAAGGCTACTCTTGGTATCACCAGACAAACCACAGAAAGGCAGCCCCGTGGGAACTGCAGGTATCTCTGGGAATGGTGGTAAGGCTCCAGCCGGAGGAATGCAGGCGGGCTCAGGTGACAGACGGTAACAGCAGCTATCGGTTTCCACTTGGCCCCCTGCTCAGCGACTCTGGGAATGGTGGTAAGGCTCCAGCCGGAGGAATGCAGGCGGGCTCAGGTGACAGACGGTCCCAGCAGCTATCGGTTTCCACTTGGCCCCCTGCTCAGCGATCCCCCTGGCATCTTTTTAGACTCATGATGCTGTGATTGCAAAGCCACTTACTCCAACTCCCTTTCAGTACCTGGAATTTGTACGTGTTGCCTAGAATTGAGCCCAGAACAGTTTTATAAAGCTCTTTGACCACAGAACCCCCCAGTCCTCTTTTCTAATGGGGCATCCCATGGCCACAGTGTTCTATGGAACATACTTTGGGGAAGGAGCCCGAATGGTGACTTAGAAATTATCTTCAAGTAGGTGACGGGTTGTTGAACAGAACACCTACTAAAGTTCTCCTAGTAGTTAACACTGGGGGTTTATTATGTGCCAGGCACTGTCCTAGACAACTTGTAAGAATTATGCGTTTACTGCTCACAATACCCCTATGTAGGAACAGTTATTTTTCCCACTTTACGGAAGAAAAAATCAAGGCACAAAGACCTCAAGTACGGGCCGGCCCGTGGCTCACTCGGGAGAGTGCGGTGCTGATAACACCAAGGCCCCGGGTTCGGATCCCACATAGGGATGGCCGGTTTGCTCACTGGCTGAGCGTGGTGCTAACAACACCAAGTCAAGGGTTAAGATCCCCTTACCGGTCATCTTTAAAAAAAAAAAAAAAAAGACCTCAAGTAACTTTCTTAAGGTCACCAAGTTTGTGAGAGGTGAAATAGGCTGTTTTATCACCAGCTGTATTTGCTACGGGTGGTAGGACAAGAACGGAGGTTCTCAGCCTGGGGACCCAGAGCACAACCCAGACCAATAAAAACAGAATCCATGTGGGTGGGCCCCAGGCCTTTGAAAGTTCATCGTTAGGCCAAAGTTGAGAATTGGTCTAGAGCAGGGGTTGCCAAACCATAGCCTTAGGGCCAGATCTGACCCACTGCCTGTTTTTGTGTAGTCTGTAAACTAAGGCTCACTGGCTGAGCGTGGTGCTGACAACACCAAGTCAAGGGTTAAGATCCCCTTACCGGTCATCTTTAAAAAAAAAAAAAAAAAAGACCTCAAGTAACTTTCTTAAGGTCACCAAGTTTGTGAGAGGTGAAATAGGCTGTTTTATCACCAGCTGTATTTGCTACGGGTGGTAGGACAAGAACGGAGGTTCTCAGCCTGGGGACCCAGAGCACAACCCAGACCAATAAAAACAGAATCCATGTGGGTGGGCCCCAGGCCTTTGAAAGTTCATCGTTAGGCCAAAGTTGAGAATTGGTCTAGAGCAGGGGTTGCCAAACCATGGCCTTAGGGCCAGATCTGACCCACTGCCTGTTTTTGTGTAGTCTGTAAACTAAGAGTGGTTTTGACATTTTTAAATGATTTTAGAAAATCAAAAGAAGGACAATATTTTGTGATGTGTGAAAATTATATGAAATTCAAATCTGTGTCCTTAAATGGTTTATTGGAACACAGCCATGCCAATGTATTTGCACATTGTCTGTAGCTGCTTTGAGCTATTGCAGAATTGAGTAGTTGTGACAGAGATCGTATGGCCTGCAAAGCCTGAAATATTTCTTTGGCTCTTTGTGGCAAAAGTGTGCTGAATCCTGGATTAGAGGAAATTGGCTTCTGTACCAGCAAAAGAAATGTAAAATAGACCTACGGAAGGACTTCCTGGCAGAGAGGTTGACTGAACACTTAAAGGGGCTTTCGGATTCCCAAGTCTGGAGTTAAGAGGATTTTACCCACCCATCCTCCCTTTCAGGTGCAAAATGGAGGTGGCTAGGGCAGAGAAATTGGCCCTGAATTTCCAACCATGGAACTCGCCTGGCAGGCAGTGATCATTCTGTATCCTTTCACCTTCACCCTAACCTTTGTGTTTTCCATTGCTGGTGCCCTGGGGCCATCCTAACCGCTGCTCCCCAGCCATGTCAATGCTGGGTTCTCTGCCTGCAGCCATTTCCTTAGGGCTCTGTCCCCAAAGAGCCAGCACAATCCCGAATCAGCCACTGCATGTGAGGCACACACAGGATGCAGGTTATCTGGTCTCAAGTGCAAAATGCTGGCAGATTCACTTTCCATCTAGCCGGCTTTGATCTCTTTCAGTCCCCTTGCCCCGTCCTCCCCCTTCCCCCAAGATTCCAACGCCCATCAAACTTGAATAGGGAGAGAAGAACAAACATATTTGGTTTCTTCTAGAGCTGCCTACTTTCCTTGCTGCTTGACCCCTGACCCCGACTGATTTTCCCAGTGCAGTAAACAGTCCGGCATCCTACGGCTGTGGTCCAGGCCAGTGAGGAATTTGGATGGAGAAGGCTTTTGTCATTTGCAACCTGGTTTGCCCTAGATCAGAGGGTTGACCAGGAGTGAGATGTCAGGTGGGGAGATTTAAGTGGTTCTCCTGAGGTGGTCCCTGGAACCAGATCTGCTGGGACAGATGTTGGGGTGGGCACCATGGCCCTGGTCTGTTGGGGGCAGTTAGCTTCAGACAGCATTTCAATCTCAGAGGTGCCCCAACCTCCCAGTGGCCTCTGCTGCAGAAGTGAGGGGTGAGGTCCAGGGATGGTCTCCTGAGGGCCTGGGAACCACTAAATAGTATGCAAAGTGGGTGTGCATGGGTGGTGTGTGTATTTTTTTAGAATCTATGCTTATGTCAGAACCCCTGGGGTAGAAAATGTCAGGGCAGCTTGAGATACATGTCCCAGGATGGGCTGAGCAGGGCCATAGTGACACAGGAACAACATTACTGTTTCCCCTAAACACTTTGTATCTCAGAATATCAACTACCACAGGGTAGGGACCAATCTGCCCAAATTATTACTTACAAGCATGCAGGTGCTTAATGGGCATTTCGTTTTGTCCTAAGAGATGATTCACCTTTGTTCAGGGAAGCAGAGAACAGTCAGATTATTCCAGCCACAGTGAAAGGAACAGTGACAGGGAGCGTGCCTCTTTTGCAGAAAGCCGTGGAGAACTTGGAACAAGTTCTTGCTGTGGAGGGGCAAGAGCATGGGCTTTGGAGCTTGGTAACCTTGGCCCAGGTTCAGATCCTCCTCTGTCATCTACTCCTCAGGACTTAGCTCTTCTCAGTGGGGTCCCTGGACCAGCAGCCCTGGGAGTGGCAAGAGCATGGGCTTTGGAGCTTGGTAACCTTGGCCCAGGTTCAGATCCTCCTCTGTCATGTACTCCTCAGGACTTAGCTCTTCTCAGTGGGGTCCCTGGACCAGCAGCCCTGGGAGCTTATTAGAAATGCAGAATCGACTAAATCGGAATCTTTATTTTAACTAGATCCCCAGGCGACTCTCAGGCATGTTAAGGTTTGAGAAGCTTTGACCTGGGACCCTACAGATGTCATAAACTCGACCGTGCCTCGGTATTCTCACCTGTAAAATGGTGATCATGCCTACTTGAAAGGTCCTTGTGAGATTCAATGAGATGATGTATGCCCGAGCTTAGCATAGTGCCTGGCACATAGGAGGTGTTCTGTATTCGTCTCCTGTCCTCAGGTTCCCTGTCTCTGGAGTTTCCATTTCTTTTCCCCTCTCAAAGCCTCTTGGTTTTTGACTTGAGGCTGTTGCAGTGCTGCCGTCGGACAGTAGAGGGCACTCTCGACATTGCCATCGCGGGGATCCCGGACAGGCGGACGGGCAGGTGGCACTGTCCCGGCAGGGAGGGCAGGTGCAGGTGCAGGTGCGCTGCTGTTCGGCTCCCGGGCTGGGGCAGCTGTTTCGCCCAGCAGCTCCCCTCCTGGGGCTGAGCGTCCTGGGCCTGAAACTGCAGCCTCAGTCGTCTGGTCTCCCACTGGATTCTCACTGCTAGTTATAAACAAATTGCCCGGCTTGTCCAAAACCTTCCGGGCTCAGTCCCCAGGCCGGTGGGGCGGCGCCTCCCGCGGGGCCGCTAGACGTTGATGAAGGATCCCTGGTCGCCGTTGGCCGTCTCGGGCTCCACGCAGCGCCCCTTCCTCCGCGTGACTCTGCGGTTCCGGTGGAATTTGGCGTAGCAGCGCAGTCCTGGGCAAAGCGAGGCAAGGCGATCAGGGGCGCGACGGGCCAGTCCCCTCCCGTCCCCCCTCTCTGGGGCCAGGTCCTCTCTCACCCTCCTTTATCCTGCCCTACAGCCCATCCTCCGCAAGGCAGCCTGAACGAGCTTTAAAAAGACTCATCGGGGAGAGGGATGAACGTATGGAACACAAGAGGACATTTAGGGCGGTGAATATGCTGTATGATACCTCGATGGTGCACGAGCCATGCACTTGTCAAAACCCTAGAATGTACAACACAAAGAGGGAGGGAACCCTAATGCAAACTATGGACTTTAGTGAGTGATAATAACGTAAGGCCGGTGGGGCGGCGCCTCCCGCGGGGCCGCTAGACGTTGATGAAGGATCCCTGGTCGCCGTTGGCCGTCTCGGGCTCCACGCAGCGCCCCTTCCTCCGCGTGACTCTGCGGTTCCGGTGGAATTTGGCGTAGCAGCGCAGTCCTGGGCAAAGCGAGGCAAGGCGATCAGGGGCGCGACGGGCCAGTCCCCTCCCGTCCCCCCTCTCTGGGGCCAGGTCCTCTCTCACCCTCCTTTATCCTGCCCTACAGCCCATCCTCCGCAAGGCAGCCTGAACGAGCTTTAAAAAGACTCATCGGGGAGAGGGATGAACGTATGGAACACAAGGGGACATTTAGGGCAGTGAATATGCTGTATGATACCTCGATGGTGCACGAGCCATGCACTTGTCAAAACCCTAGAATGTACAACACAAAGAGGGAGGGAACCCTAATGCAAACTATGGACTTTAGTGAGTGATAATAACGTATCCATGTTGGTTCATCAGCCGTAACAAATGCAACTCACTCATGCAAGGTAATAATAGTGAGAAATGCGTGCAGGGGCAAAAAGGCTATATAAAAACTCTGTACATTCCATGCGATGTTTCTGTAAACCTAAAACTGCTCTGAAAAATAAAGTCTACTATAAAAAAAATTGGGAAGAAAAGAGTTTATTAAAAGTTTTTAAAAAGTGACTTAGATTCTGCCCGTTCCTATAAAACCTCCCATAGCTCCCCATTGCACTTAACGTGGAAATCTAAACAAATAAATATTTCTTAATGGACCAGATGAATGAATAGTCAGAACTAAAGAGCTTTATTGCTTCCACAGCAGATAACTTTTGAGGGTAATGTGAGCCAAATGGGGCACGTATCTCAGATTAATAGAGGGGCTGAGACCTAACTCTCCCGCTCAGGAGATGTGAGCGCTGCTTGAATATTGGATGGTATTTAGTAATTAGGTTCATTTTCGGCCTTTTTCTTTTTTAAAAAAAGATGACCGGTAAGGGTATCTTAACCCTTGGCTTGGTGTTGTCAGCACCACGCTCTCCCAAGTGAGCCACGGGCCAGCCCTGGCATTTTGTTTTTAAAGAGTGGTTATCTTTTAGCGATATATACTGAAATATTCACAGATGAAATGTCTGTAAACTCCCAGGAGTTCCTTGTGCTATTGGAATGAGGGAGTGGGTGGGAGAGAGACGACGCAGATTGGCCATGAGCTGGTAATCAATGAAGCTGAGTGATGGGAAATGGAGGTTGTTATACTATTCTGACTACTTTAGTATACATTTGAAATGTTTCAGAATACGAAATTGAAAATATTCCTCCACTTTTCTAGCTATGACCATTTGGGCAAGTCACTTAAGCTTTCTGTGCCTCGGTTCAATTATTTGTTAAGTGGGGATCACAATAGCTCCCTTCTGGGGGTGGTTGTGAGGATTAAAGGAGAGAAAGTGCTTAGCACAGAGCCAGGTACACCTGGGCCAGGTGGGAGCTCAGAGGAGTTAAAGAGGCAGCTGGCCAAGTGCGTCCTTCCCTGGGACACTCCCCACCCCCTTATCGTACTTGGAATGACACCCCTGGGATAGAATTGTGGTGTAAAAGCGCCAGCCTTCTCAGGTTGGGTCTTGTTTAAAGAGATATACTCCTGTCTCCTCCCTTACCCTCCTCCAGATTGTGAGAGATCATGCCAGCTTGTATTTCAAGAGTTGAGAAAAGCAAATCTGAGAAACGATGCCAGGAATCAAGACTAAATGAGTTCACAGATTGGGAGGCACCCGGCAAAGCTGATCTTGCTCCCGTCTTCAGCTCCCGAGGGATTCTCCCACCCTCCTCCTCCGCAGACTCCTCAACCCACCTTCTGCCAGGAAATCTTGCCCCCCACTCATGGCAGAACCAGCTTCGAGAGAGGGAGGCTTCATGGCTCTTGCACCCCGAGGGGAGTCTGGACCCACCTTCCACACACATGCAGTCATCGAAGCACTTGTTGTTGAGGCCACGATTGTGGGGCGTGCACAGATGCTCCCGCAGGTCGCAGCAGGTCCCTGCCAACACAGCAAGCATGCACGCGTGGTCAGCCAAGCTGAGCGGCCCCTCCCTGCCGCCCAGTCCCACTGGACAGGAGATCCATCATCACTATGGCAGGCCGTGCCCTGGCAGGGTGGGCCATCTGGTGTGTGAGCTCCCAGCCAGAACCTGTCCGGCTATGGATATCATGGCCGAGGCCCCAGCTGCCCCAGATGGGCAAGTGATTGATTATGGGAAGAGAGAAGGTGGTGTGGGGTCACCTCCTGGGGAGAGCGGGTGGGACAGCTGGGGGCTGCCAGGTGTGGAGTCAGCTGGGAGCTGGGAGGGGCCTCAGGGATCATTGACACCAATGTCCTCTTTTGACAGATGGGGAAACTGAAGCCCCCGGCAGCTGCAGGGCTGTCCCAGGCAGGCCCAAAGCGCAGCCTCGCCCGCCACAGAGCCAGCTCTCAGAGTGACTGTGCAGTTGGCCCAAACTCCAGCCTTTTCTCTGTGCTTAGGGTGAAAACAATGGTTTGGAAAGAAAACAGCCTGTCAGGGAGCTGGTGGTCTGGCTTATACAATGCCAAACTGCCGGTTTGGTTGCTGGTCTATAGAATGTTCTGGCAACTGATTTGACAATAATGGCCCCAAGGAGGGGTCCTCAGGACATACTTGCTATTCAGTGGCAAGGAGAGCAGTTAGCTGATGGCCAATGCCAAACTGCCGGTTTGGTTGCTGGTCTATAGAATGTTCTGGCAACTGATTTGACAATAGTGGCCCCAAGGAGGGGTCCTCAGGACATACTTGCTATTCAGTGGCAAGGAGAGCAGTTAGCTGATGGCGGCTGATGGCCTCCAGCTGTTAGCACCTTCAGGGGCCTCCCCCACCCATGTCATGCTGTTCCCAAGCGGCCCCAGCCAATGACTAGCACAGCAGTGGTACCAGGGTCTGGCCATTTCTCCAACAGGCAATCTTTGCTTCAGAGCTCCCACTGCATCGGCAGGGACGTCACATCGCAGTGTGAAGGCTTCTCTGTCCAATCCTGCTTTTTACATTTCTCAGGCATCGCCCTCTCTCACTGCCGAAATAAACCTCTTGCACTAACTCTTCCTCAGAGTCTGCTTCCCAGAGGGCCTTCCTGACCCAACAAGGGCCAGCAGTTTAAGGCATTGGTCAAAACATCAGGCCCCTTGTTTTTAGACTGTCTTGAAAGGGACAGCTGTTGAACAGGTGAGGATGTCATCAAAAGCATTCCCAGAAAGCCCAGCAGTGTCACGATGGGACAAGGACAGCATTAAGCCCTGCCAGGTGTTAGGAGGAAGAGGTCAAGAGAGGGTCATCCTGATTCAAGGCAGTGTAGGGCCCTGGTTAAGGGGCTTTGGAACCAAGGTCAAGAGTTCAGATCCCCATACCGGCCAGCGGTGAAAGAAAGAGAGAAGAGAGAAAGAAAGAAGCTTTGGAACCAGCTGACCCAGGTTGGAGCCACTTCCTAGCTGTGTGTGACCTTGGGCAAGACACTTAGCCTCTATGGGACTCAGTTGCCTTGCCTGAAAACTGAGGATGATAGTGTCTTGTTGTCTGGGTTGTCATAACTACTGTTTTAAAAGAATTAATGTATGACAGTAAATCCGTAAATGGTCATGGACCCCCAGGCCCTGCTCAGTGCCTGGGAGCTCCCCACCCCACCACCGAGTTTCCCCCCAGCTCCCAGCCTGCTGCTTTGAACATGGATGTGGTTGGTACCTGGCATGCAGTCTTGGTGATGGTCACACGGCTCCCCTTCAGCTGGGGATGTTTCATTACCATCACTGGAGAGTTTACCCCGGTGTTTCTCTGGGGACAAGAAGATCTGTCGTCAGAAGCTGATGCCCAGCAGAGCAGAGAGATTAAGCACAAAGACTCGGGTGTCAGAGTGCCCATACCACCACTCCCACTGTGACTTGGACAAGACACTATACCTCGTTATGCCTTGTTTCTCTTCTCTAAAACGGGTCAACAGTAGTACAGACCTAACAGATTTTCTTTCGCAGGTTAAAATGAATCAATGCATGGAAAGTGTTTGGCATGTAACAAGCACTTGAGAGCATTTTCCATTTTGAGTTTCACTTCCAGTTTAGACTTGATGCACCCCCCCACCCCCACCCCCGCCTTTGCACATCTATAGGTCAGACTGGGCTCGCTGGGGCCCCCACCCTCCAGCAGATGCTGGGGTCAGGGAGGGGGCCCAGGCATGGGGGCGATGGGGCAGATACCTTTCTTCTTTGCAGAGGGCCAGACTTCAGGTTTTAAGTCCTCATAATCGGTCCAGTCGAACAAGGCCATATCCAGCGTGGGCATCACCTCCCCGTCAGGTCTGGGCTGTGCCAGCAGAAGGGGGGAGAGGGGGGAACCTGGGGCTTTCCAACTGATGGAAGCAAGAATATGGAGTCCCAAGGCCAGAAAGCAAAGGAGGGACTCCTCAGAGGCCACCTTGTCCTCTGCCAGGCAGCCTGGCATCCCAGCCTGAGGACATCGAGACGGCTCTAGCAGCCGCAGGGCAGCTTTCTCACCGTGCAGCCACCAGCCCAGTGGGACCATGCCTTGAGGCAGCCATGCAGGCAGTGAGTTACCTATCAGGGCCTCTGAGGAGGGGCGGAGACCCCCTTCCGGGCTGGGAAGGCAGTCTTGCTTGCTCAGGGTTGCCCATGAGGAGGGATGGGAAGTAGCCCAGCCGCTCACTTCCCTGTGCCTTCCTCTCCCCTGCAGAGTTACCAGCTCTTTGCGGCACCATTGAGGCCACAGCCTGGGCTCAGTCCCACTCACAGTCTGGCCAGTGGCCCGGAGAGTGCCGAGGGCTAGAGACCACGGCTGAATCTGCACACGGTCACCTGTGCACACTAGGATGTGGCAGTAACTGCACCTTCTAGGGCTGGGTCATCAACGGGCAGGCTTTGGTGGCCTTTGGCTATATGGATAACCATGGACTCCTGGGAGGCAGTCCACAGCTTTCCTCAGAATCTCAAGGGTGCAAGACCCAGAAAGAGGATAAGAAAGATCTACTGCTAAAAATTCTTATTTCTTTTGTCTGTATTATTTATTATACATATACAAAATGTACCATATATTATATATATTATTGATCCTTTTAAATGATTTTATTTTGAAAACATTTCAAAGCCACAGAAGAGGTGCAGGAATGATGTGGTTGAGTCCTACGCCCACCTCTAGAGTTGCTGGTGGGGAGCATTTTTGCCACATTTGCTGACCTGCTGTCTCCTCATGTAGCTTTTTAAAAAATCTGAAACAGATGGTTCAACGTGCTAACTAATTCTTGTTAATTCTGGGTCCTGGGGACATGGTTTTAAAACTTACTATGATTATTTTCTGTACTTTTTTGTACATAAAGTTCTTCCCCAAGGGCTTTGCTGCCCTCCATGCAGAGACGGGCGTGCTGAGCTGGCTGGCACTTGCTCCCTTGGCTGTCCCCAGGGTGAGCCCAGGACCACTTCCTCCTGGACAGTGCAGCCCTTTCTCAGGATGGAGTGCCCACTTGTGCTGCAGCTGATGGCCGTCAAGAGACCGGGTTTCAATTGAGGCCCAGTGGCCTCCAGCAACTCCCTTCTGCCTTGGTACCTCAGCTTCCCTAAATGTACTAAGAGGGGTTTGCACGACATGGTCTCAAGGACCCTTCCAGCTCCAAGGCTGTTTTGGGGCTCCTTACCTGGGATTGTAGGGAGGTGACAGGCAGGATTAGGGATTCTTCTGTGGCAGGTGCAGCTTCAAAGGTGGTTAGGAAGAGCATGGTAGGGGCCAGGCTGGTGGAGGATTCCTCCATTGCAGCATCCAGCGCCTGGTCTTCAGATGGTTCTGTCTTCTTCATCAGGGAGCTGGGACCTCGGACAAAGGCTCGGCCTGAGACACAGAGTGGAAGCACAGGGGCTTAATCTGCTTGGCACACCTCATGTCGGCCTATAGTAGAACCCACATTTTTGGCTGCAAATCAGGGGATAGCCGGGACTATGTGACAGTCCCTTGGTTCAGCCAACATCCTTGCTGCCCACTCTCCTGGGGAGGTGAAAACTCAGGGGTGGGGAGATGTCTTGGATGAACCCACGGTGTTGCTGGGGAGAAGGTCCAAGGATTCTTACTGTAGAACAGCCAAGTCCAAGTCCAGGTTGGTGGGCTACAGCCAGGGATGAAGGGTAACAAATGGGAACTAGTAGGATTAACCATGGAAGGCTTCCTGGAGAAGTTTGAATAAGGAGCAACGTGATGAGGCTGAGAGACACTGCAGGGGAAAGAGGCCTTTGAGAAAGCCGGGAGGTGAGAGCTCATCACAGACAAGAGCGCTCCTGGGTGGTAATAAGCAGCCACCACCTTGTCCCAGATGAGCTGCTTTACAAGCTTTATTTCATCTAACCATTGCAGCTCTGGGAAGTGGGTGCTCCTTCAGCCTCATCTTCAGCGGGGGGAAACTACAGCACAGAGAAGGTAGGTGACTTGCCCAAGGACACACAGCTCGTGAGCAGCAGAGTCTGGATTTAAACCCAGGTTTTTTGAGTGCAAAGCCAATGCTTTAGCCACTGATGCTGGCTTCTAGGACATATGGGCATGGGGTAGTAGGAGTGCGAGTGGGAGAGCATGCAGGGTCAGGAGGGGATCATGAATAAAGGGACTTGGAGAGAAGGTGGAAAGCGTGGGCTCATCCTTGCCTATTTTTCTCAGGCAAGATCTGGCTGTAAGGTCAGTTGTGGTCACGCCACCCTGCAGAAAGGGAGCTTTGGGACCATTGACTCCACCCTATTCATTTTGCGGACAAGGAAACTGAGGCCCAGTTAGCCCTAGGTTTTGCAGGTGGTCGTGAGCAGAGCTGGGCCTAGCCTGCAGAACTCCTCTGTCAGCCCCTCTTGCCCACCGTTCCAGCTCTCCTAGGAGGGCCCCGCTGCTCTGCTGGAGCTGGAGCTGGGATGAGTCCATATCCCACATGTGTCCTCTAGCTTGTCCCCAATGGGGCCAGCACACCCCTCCCCAGCCTGACATAGACAACCTCCAGGAGTGGGAGGCTGAAAGTTGAAGCCGGGGACCCCGGCTGCATTCTGCCCACTTGAGGGGGTCTCAGTAGGCCTGGCAGGAAAGCAAGCCCCAGCTGTTTGTCCTAGGAGGGCCCCGCTGCTCTGCTGGAGCTGGAGCTGGGATGAGTCCATATCCCACATGTGCCCTCTAGCTTGTCCCCAATGGGGCCAGCACACCCCTCCCCAGCCTGACATAGACAACCTCCAGGGGTGGGAGGCTGAAAGTTGAAGCCGGGGACCCCGGATGCATTCTGCCCACTTGAGGGGGTCTCAGTAGGCCTGGCAGGAAAGCAAGCCCCAGCTGTTTGTGGGAAATGGGGGGCTGAGGTTCCATCACCTGCCTAGCCATGAAATACCTCCTCATCACCCCAACCGTGCTTGTGGCACTCGGCCTGCACCTAGGGGCAGTCTTGTCACATGAAGAGACTGAGAAGCCGAGGTGCCTGCATCGGCTCGGCTCAGGGCCAGGCGAGACTGGGGAGGAGCGTCTGGGTGGAGCTACTGGGGCATGTTTGTTCAGAGACTAGATGGACAAAGGGGTGGGAGGCTGGGGCCGGGGGGTGGGGGCAGATAGCTCACAGGGGACATGGGGAGGGTGAGAAGGGCTGTGAGGGGAGCATCCCTGAAACAAACATGGCAGAAGCAGGAAAGAGAGGGCTATGACACCTGTCCTTGGGTCACTGATTCAGCATCAACAAGGAGCTGTGAGTTAACTAGTGACAGCTACTGTTCATGGCCCTGACATTGAGTTCTAAGCTCTCTACAAATCAAGTCTCTGAATCTGCACTGAGAGTAGATGGGACCATTATCCTCATTTTGCAGAGGGAGAAACCAAGGCACAGAAGGGTAACTTGCCCAGAGCCACGAGTAGGTGGTAGAGCCAGGAACTAGTCTCGGGCAAATCTGGCTTCAGAGTCTATGCTCTTAGCCCCACTCTGTGCTTCAGAGTTGATTAAGGAATGTGCTTGGAGGTATTTATAGTAGGATAGATTTGGGTCAGATACAAGGTAGAACTTTCCGACTTAGGAGGATGATCAATTGATAAGACTGAGCTTCTCTTGCTATCTATCCCTCTCCTCTCGTGTCCCACCCCTGGGTCTCTCCCTGCCTCCTCCCCTTACCAGATGCCTCTGATGTTAGTGAGGCCCCTCCCCTCCTCCGGGTGTTCACTACATGCCCGCTTTGGGGCTTCTGGATGTCCTCCTAGGAACCTCACACCACTGGCCGCTCTCTCCAGCCTCCCCCTCCAACCCTGGGAGTCCCCTTGGCCTTTTGGGTCTGAGCCGGCTTCCCTCTCTTCCCTACCTGTCCATTGCAGGACCCCGCCCCCTCCCCAATCTCCAGCTACCTCGGTGCAGTTTTAGCCTGTCCCTGCGTCTCTTGTGCTCCCTGCTGCGTTTCTTCGCCCTCTCCCACCCTGGAGACTGGTTCTCTTTCTCGGGGTAGGGCAGTGCCAGCCCCAGAAGCAGGTCCTTGTGCAGCAGCAGGCCTGCAGGACTCTGCCCAGGCAGCAGCCCTCCAGCCCCTGGCAGCCTGGAGGCCTGCTTGGTGGCAGTGACCACAGCCTCATCCTGGGCCCAGCTGGGCATGCCTGGGCCCCGCTCCTTCTTGACCAGGCCCCGGCGGTGGTGGCTGGACTGAGGCGTCCACAGCGCTGAGCCTGGGAGGTCGATGTGATTCTCAGGGAGGTTCCGAGCAGGGGTTCCAGGTGCCAAGGAGCCCGCCAGGCTCAGCTCCAGGAGCACCAGGAGGACCGGGAACAGCATGGGGGCAGTGTGGCTCCTGGGCCCAGCCATTTGCTCCTCCCTGCAAGAAAAGTGGCACTATGAGGGGACAGCTCCTCCTCGCTGCCCCACTCCAAAATCCCCTCCCTGACATCATTACAGCACAGTTTTTCCCTACAGGGATAGAGGGGAACTTTGCCCTCCAGGGGACATTTGGCAACACCTGCAGACATTTTCAGTCTTCAGAACTGGGTAGTGCTGCTGGCATCTTGTGGATGGAGCCCAGGGATACTGCTAAACATCCTACAATGCACAGGACAGGTCCCCAAGAAAGAATCATCTGGCCCAGAAAGACAGCAGTGCCGAGGTTGAGAACCCCTGGCTTAAATCGTTTAAGCAGCATCCAGGTAACAGATTAGTCTAGAATTCCTTTCCCTGCACAAACCTCTGTCCTTTGCCAAGTCCCCCGGAACAGAGCTGAGTCCCTCAGAGCTCAGAAATACACCTCTAGTCTCTGAGACTTGACTCAAAGCCTAAATTCAAACAAATGGTATAATAGC